CAGCAGACTGGAATCTTCGGGCAGTATTTTGGGCATGATTACTTATAACAGTTTTCGGATTTCAATAGCAAATGGTGTAATTTAGTAGCATTTAAAGTGACGATGTCATTTCAGTTGCAGTTTGTTTATTTTGGTTTTTTCTCGTGGGTGCTTAAATAGTTGTAGTATTTATTTATGTTTATCTTTCACCTTCAAAAAGCTTTAAATATTTTATTTTGTAATTTACAAACTTAGAAACGCTATAAATTTGTGTGTTACAATTAAAACAGTAAAAACACTTACATACAAAACGCTCTAACATATTAACAATTTAAATGACAATTGTCATGTCAGTCTAAAACGAACAAACAGTAGAAGTTATGCATGAAAAAAAAAAAACAATGTTGCGAATGTCAAACACTTAACGAAATAAAATTTCTTGAAAAATTATTTCAATTTTATGAACAAAAAAGCGAAAGTGTTTAATTTTTTCATAAATTTAATTCTTTATAATATAAAACAGATAAAAGATCTTAAACATAATTTAATGATTTATGGAAATGTGTCACACAATTGAAGTGGCCACAAAACAATGTTGTCTTATATATTATAATTTTTATTTGTTTTATTTAATATAATAGTTAAAATGCCGAAAAAAGAATTGCAAACATTTGTTTAACGAACAATACAGTATGGGGCATTTATCTCTTAAACCACCACCATGTTAAGCTTTCTAGCCAACAACAACAATGAGTTTAGACCGCAAATAAATTAAATGCACATTATGACCACAAATGTTGTTTAAACGCTGGTTGACTTCGCATTGAAAACCGAAAGCCATTGCGCAAACCAGCTTAACCAGACCTAAAATGAAATTTTAAAATTTGCAAAAAAAAAAAAAACTTTATTTATTTAAGTATGCAAATGATTACCTCCTCCCACACATTATGTTGCATGAGTGGTAGTTGCTGCTAGTAGTGAGTGTTTGGTGTTCAATGAGTTACAGGCTTCAAGCATGAAATTATTATTTTGTTAGAAAAAAATTTTTTTTTGTTTTTTTTATTGGAAATATTTTCATAATTTTGTTTGTTGTGTGTTTTTACAGTTTATCTTTAAAATTTTCTAAACGTTTTTGCCAAAAGGGTTGTTTTCTTTAGCAGATAAACTTTCTTTTGTTCAATAGCGTTAACACAGTTTCCAAGCTTTTCTTGCGAAATAAATCATTAGCAGATTCACAAGCAATATGAGTTCCAGGATTTCCGATTTCGAAATCCAAATTTCTATTTAAAATTCGACTTACCAAAATAACACAGTCCAACAAATTTTGAAGATATCTCGTAGAAAGATGAAGACAGTGGTTGAAACTTTTAAAGACGACATATTTGACTTTCAGATGACATAACAGAATTTATAAATTAAGGAATCATTGCGCTGTTATAGCGTCTCAAATATGGCCCAAAACTAAATGACACCATATCTGGTAAACTATCTGATCTGATGAATAAATTCTGAAGAATTTTCAGATTCTGGGCTGCTCAATCCTTTAGAAAATCATACTTTGGTCTTTGGGAATCGACTTTTTTCAAATTTTGTTCTCCAGTGTAATTCATCAAACATTTTTTTATGAAAAATTTCATTAAAAAAAAACTTATTCTCTAATGAAATTCCGAATTTCACTAAAAATCTGATTTAAATTGAAAAGATTCACTTCTAATTATTGAAAAAAACCCTAATAAAAATCCGATTCTTAGTGGATTTCTAAAATTTGTTTTTTTCACAAAAAAATTAGGTTTTTACAAAAAATTCAGTTTTTTACAAAAAATTCAGTTTTTCGTTTTAACCTTCTCAATTAAGTTTTTCACTAAAAATTCAATTTTTCACTAAATAATCAGTTTTTTAACTAAAAATTTAAGTTTTCATAAAAATCGAATTTTTCACTAAAAATTTAAATTTTCACTAAAAATTTAAATTTTCACTAAAAATTTAAATTTTCACTAAAAATTTGATTTTTCACTAAAAATTTGATTTTTCACTAAAAATCAAATTTTCTACTAAAAATCAAATTTTTTACTAAAAATTTGATTATTCACTAAAAATTTCAGTTTTCATAAAAATCAAATTTTTCACTAAAAATTTAATTTTTCACTAAAAATTTACTTTTTCACTAAAAATTTTATATTTCACTAAAAATTTAATTTTTCACTAAAAATTTACTTTTTCACTAAAAATTTAATTTTTCACTAAATTTTTCACTAAAAATCGTTTTTTTTTTTTTTGCTAAAAATCAAAATTTTCGCTAAAATCACTAAAAATTTTGCAAAAATTCAAATTTTTGACTAAACATTTTTTCTAAAAATTTTACTAAAAACAAAGTTTTATTTTATTAAAAATGTTTCACTAAATGTCTTGTATGTGCGTACATTTGTATCTACGATCAATTGTTTTTGATAACGGCTACTTTTTAAAAACGATCATCAAAACGAGAAAACCACAACATACTTTAAGGCGGCTCAATTAAAGTTTATAAACTTTGAAGGTGCCAGATCATTAATTTTTGAAAACTGTTAAAAAACGCTAGTATTCAGAATAAAGAAAGAAATGTCATCTCAGACGATTATGGGGGACAGGCATATTTATAAACCAAAGTATTTATTAATGCAATTTAAAGAAGCTCTCTTGGTTCTTGATAGAAATTATTGGACGTATGTCAGATCTTCAGAAATTCTCTTTAACCCTCATAACTAGCTTAAAACGTATGTATATGTTTAAATTTATACAAAACATGTTTTATAGAAACAAAAATATTTCTACCCAATTTTATGAGAATTGGACCATAATTGACCCTACTCCCTATATAAGGTCCCTTTTAGAAAATGACCATTGACGAAATTCTACACAAACAAGTTTTGTAAGCACAAAAATCTTTCTACCAATTTTGATGAGGATTTGTCTATAATTGACCCATCCACTCATACAAGCTCTATTTCAGATAAAGACTTTTGGCTTCATAACTGAATCAAGCCTCCAATAAACTGCTAAGATCTAAGTACGTAATTAACTTTAATTTACAATATCCGCTTTAATGGTGGGCATAGCCGAATATACTCTTACTTGGAAAACTGAATTATTCATTACATTAAGTTTTCGTCATATTCGTAGAAGGCTGTCTACGAATATGATGAAAACCTTCCATCAAAGATATATCGAAAACTTAACGTAATGAATAATTCAGTTTTCCAAGTAAGAGTATATTCGGCTATGCCCACCATTAAAGCGGATATTATAAATTTGTAAATGTTGTAAATGTTGTTAAGTACTCCACATTGGTTTCAATATCTGTTATATGTATCTCGTTGATTATCTGAAACAACAAACAGATATCTCGAAATGGCCAAATTCGAATTCGAAACTGAGCACAATTTTTTACAGAACTCTGAGTTAAAATTTTGTTCATATTTGAATCAAAAGGTATACGTTTGTCGGGAAAAGTGGTAATTTACCAACGAACCCCTTCTTCTGGATAGTTTCGACTCAATTTTGCGACGTTTTTATGAAATTACTAATTGTTATTTAAATAAATCTTCTTCGAAGACGAAATAAGTCATCAAGAAGTCTTCCAGATATTGACTGCTATAAAGACAGCAAGTTATAAAGACAATTGTACTCGGGTAATTACAGATTGATTTACTTCTATGTCTACACATTTCGGGACTTTTATAACCGTCTCTCTAAACTTCAAGATCTAATAAGAAGAGTCAAGTGCTATCTATGGATGAATTAGCCATAAACATTTTTAAATAAAGTGTCCATTTAAGCTAGGAAAGTAAAATAGTATATAAATAGTACTTAACGAAACACCCCTTTCCTCTACGATTCAAAATCCATGATTTTAGGTATGGAATTGGAGCATATTTTAAATAAACTCTTTGGTCACCGCGACTGAGTCGAATGTGCTTCAATTCGGATGTCCAAAACTTCGATTACTTTTGCAGTTTTTGGAGTTTTGAGTATTGACACAAGGTTTAGATATCAAGTCATCAATCAACTCTAACTTTTCTGATTTCGCAGAAACTAATACATACCCAGCAAAAACATGATAATGACTTGTACTTACTATTCAATGACCACTACATAGCGTCTGCATTACTTAGAATGAGTCTAGTAATAACTTGTTTTCTTGCTTTTTCTTGTAAAATATTCTCTTTTTTTGATGAAATTTTACGAGGTTGTCTTGGATTTTTGCTTATATTTCCGTTATTTATGAAAGGATTTGGCTGATATTAAATAGGAAACTTCTTGAGAGCATATCTGATAGAATTATTTAAGATTGGGATCTCGAAAATATCTGCGGTCTTTAGAAAATTGATAATTGATAATAATCGTCTCCGCTATCTATAAAGATCCAGAATATTATATTGTGAAAATTACAAACGGAATGACAAACATATACATATGTATATACCCTTCTCACGAAGGTAAAGGTTATAAAAACACTGGATCTTTGACGTTTTTAATAACAAAGATTTCTTTTAGAAATTTAATTAAAAGAAATTTTAAACTTTAGAACATTACATAATGCATTCGTCTAGACGTTTTCAGATAAATACTTTGATACATACGTATGACCTTTAAATACATACGCTTAATATGTATAAAATGCATATCATGCCCAAATAAGAATTGATCCACAACTTGTTTCTTTTTTGAAAAGATTAAGTGTCAAATTACCCTATAAACCCCCAAAGAAGTTGCTAAGTATACGGCAACATCAATTTGTATCTGAGATACTTTTGTCTTATTGGAATTAGTATCTTCAATAATATAGAAAATCCCACAATCTGGTACACCTCGGATGGAAAACAAGTTATTTGCATTTTTAACAACAATTTTGAGTTTACTCATTCTCCCACTATTTCTCCCACTCTCACGATTAAGCAGATACAAACCGCTCTCTTTCTCTCAGCACTCGCCGTTATTAACATCACACATTCAAGTGCATTTCAAGTAGTATCTCACACACCATATCCAAGCAACATGTACAAATGATACCTTATGTCGAACTTTATCAGACACACAAGTGAGTCTTTTAAACTGAAAAATATAAAACTTATTTTTACTACATAGAGTTAAACGTATACGTTTAGGAGATACGCTCTAACGATCGGATCGTTTGGAAACAACAAAAACTGTAATAAGAAACTCAATCAGTTGGAGTAAATACGTCGCGCGAGTACGAAGAACGTAGCGCATGGTTGTAAATGTAATTCAAAACTCAATAGAAATATGTTTAATAAAGTGTGAAAAGAAAATAAAAATTAAAGTTAATAAATTAAACAAAAAATTTGTTATAGAGACTAAAAAAGTAAACAAAAAGAAAATTAAAGAAATTAAGAAATAAATGAAGAAAAAAAGTGTAACAACTTACAGCTAAAAAGTTTAAAAAACGCATTGGAATGTGTTAAAGCAACGTAAGCATTGCAGGAGAAAAAAAAAGCGTTAAAAAAGTGATCAATTTGTGAAAATCAAAGTGCAGTTTTTTTTTCGTATACTCTGGTAAACAGAGAAAACCCCCCCACCACCACTACCACCTCAAAATATATGGATACATACATATCACAATATACTACATATGTTTCAATATACATATCTAAGTGGTGTGTATAAAGTTACAACAACAAAAACACCAACTACAACAATAAACAACAACAAAAACTAAAGCAAAACAAAAACATAAAATTAGAGGGGACCCCATAATTTTTCTTTACGAAATTGTACTCACACATTGCAAGCAATAGATTTTTCATACGTTTTCTAAACGTTTGCGTTCTATCTATTAAACTATTATTAAAGTGAGCCAAGTTCAATAAAATTGCTAGTGTAACAGTGTGAGTGTGTGTCGGTGTGTCTGTGTCATTGTTATCAAATCAAATGGGTAAATTTTCTTTTTGTGTTTGTTTATCTGTATACAAGTGTATGTATATTTGTATCGGTGTATTTTTGTAAATAACTAATGGCAATGAAAATTAATTCAAACAAAAAAATCTAAATTATAATTGAATTTGTATCTATTCTATTTTATCAATAAGAAATTAAAAAACAAGAATAAACGTAAAAAAAATACTTAAATTTATACACACCAACAATTCAACGCTCTATTTATTATTGTTTTTTTTTTTTTTGTAGTATCTGTGAGTTTGCTTTATTGTGGAGTTTAAAAAAACGTTAAAACAAAAACAAGCTGTTTTTTTTTGCAGTAGACTGGCGTTTTTAAGTCAATATTATTATACCTTTAGGTTGTTACCCGTACACAAGTGTGTTGCTGTCGTCTACCCCTTTGTTTTTTTTATTCAAAGTTATTTATTTTTGTCTTAGTCAGTTTCTCTTTCTCTTCAAAAATAAACGTGTTTTGCCAAATGTCTATGTAGCGCTTTTTATTCTAATGCGAAAACAGTTTCCTGACTTTTGCATAACTTAACTGTCAAAATTTTATACAAATCTGTTAATTTGCTAGTGCTTTTGTAAATTACTTCTAATCAAATTTTTCATATTTACTTCACCTATCACCTACATATCATACACAAGGATCGTCCAATGTTTGCTGTTTGGCATTTCCCTTATTAATGGTAAGAAACCACCTCTGTTTCTTCGAGGTCAACCTGACCTCTATATGCAGACGTTGGGTCATTATTACTGTAAAGTTTTTCTAGGTAGTAGATACGAACAATAACAGCTATCAGTAATAACGGGACAAATTAACCCTGTTGGTCTTTTCCAATCAGTGGGTGAGCTTTTGTGACGACTCATCACCGCCCATAGTGCTTCTTACAGGTACAGGTAGCACCTCTTTACCCCGGGATTGCAATACACCATGATGAGGGTCTTTCATCAAGGAAACATGCCCCGGGGGGAGTAATAACGAGACAATGTGCTGTTGGCAGTCATGATCGGAGAACGTGTCTCGAGTAAAATGAAGAGAAAGAGGACGCCATATGTCATTTCCTTTGACATTGACTGACATTTACTGTGAACAGAGAGTTTGGTTCTGCCGTTCTCTCAGGCATTTAGGTGCTATCTGTGATAAGTTAGTTAGTTAGTTAGTTAGTTAGATAGATAGATAGTAGTTAGTTAGTTAGTTAGTTAGTTAGTTAGTTAGTTAGTTAGTTAGTTAGTTAGTTAGTTAGTTAGTTAGTTAGTTAGTTAGTTAGTTAGTAGTTAGTAGTTAGTTAGTTTAGTTAGTTAGTTAGTAGATAGTTAGTTAGTTAGTTAGTTAGTTAGTTAGTTAGTAGTTAGTCAGTTAGTTAGTTAGTTAGTTAGTTAGTTAGTTAGTTGGTTAGTAGTTAGTTAGTTAGTTAGTTAGTTAGTTAGTTAGTTAGTTAGTTAGTAGTTAGTTAGTTAGTTAGTTAGTTAGTTAGTTAGTTAGTTAGTTAGTTAGTTAGTTAGTTAGTTAGTTAGTTAGTTAGTAGTTAGTAGTTAGTTAGTTAGTTAGTTAGTTAGTTAGTTAGTTAGTTAGTTAGTTAGTTAGTTAGTTAGTTAGTTAGTTAGTTAGTTAGTTAGTTAGTTAGTTAGTTAGTTAGTTAGTTAGTTAGTTAGTTAGTTAGTTAGTTAGTTAGTTAGTTAGTTAGTTAGTTAGTTAGTTAGTTAGTTAGTTAGTTAGTTAGTTAGTTAGTTAGTTAGTTAGTTAGTTAGTTAGTTAGTTAGTTAGTTAGTTAGTTAGTTAGTTAGTTAGTTAGTTAGTTAGTTAGTTAGTTAGTTAGTTAGTTAGTTAGTTAGTTAGTTAGTTAGTTAGTTAGTTAGTTAGTTAGTTAGTTAGTTAGTTAGTTAGTTAGTTAGTTAGTTAGTTAGTTAGTTAGTTAGTTAGTTAGTTAGTTAGTTAGTTAGTTAGTTAGTTAGTTAGTTAGTTAGTTAGTTAGTTAGTTAGTTAGTTAGTTAGTTAGTTAGTTAGTTAGTTAGTTAGTTAGTTAGTTAGTTAGTTAGTTAGTTAGTTAGTTAGTTAGTTAGTTAGTTAGTAGTTAGTTAGTTAGTTAGTTAGTTAGTTAGTAGTTAGTTAGTTAGTTAGTTAGTTAGTTAGTTAGTTAGTTAGTTAGTTAGTTAGTTAGTTAGTTAGTTAGTTAGTTAGTAGTTAGTTAGTTAGTTAGTTAGTTAGTTAGTTAGTTAGTTAGTTAGTTAGTTAGTTAGTTAGTTAGTTAGTTAGTTAGTTAGTTAGTTAGTTAGTTAGTTAGTTAGTTAGTTAGTTAGTTAGTTAGTTAGTTAGTTAGTTAGTTAGTTAGTTAGTTAGTTAGTTAGTTAGTTAGTTAGTTAGTTAGTTAGTTAGTTAGTTAGTTAGTTAGTTAGTTAGTTAGTTAGTTAGTTAGTTAGTTAGTTAGTTAGTTAGTTAGTTAGTTAGTAGTTAGTTAGTTAGTTAGTTAGTTAGTTAGTTAGTTAGTTAGTTAGTTAGTTAGTTAGTTAGTTAGTTAGTTAGTTAGTTAGTTAGTAGTTAGTTAGTTAGTTAGTTAGTTAGTTAGTTAGTAGTTAGTTAGTTAGTTAGTTAGTTAGTTAGTTAGTTAGTTAGTTAGTTAGTTAGTTAGTAGTTAGTTAGTTAGTTAGTTAGTTAGTTAGTTAGTTAGTTAGTAGTTAGTTAGTTAGTTAGTTAGTTAGTTAGTTAGTTAGTTAGTTAGTTAGTTAGTTAGTTAGTTAGTAGTTAGTGTTAGTTAGTTAGTAGTTAGTTAGTTAGTTAGTAGTTAGTAGTTAGTTAGTTAGTTAGTTAGTTAGTTAGTTAGTTAGTTAGTTAGTTAGTTAGTTAGTTAGTTAGTTAGTAGTTAGTTAGTTAGTTAGTTAGTTAGTTAGTTAGTTAGTTAGTTAGTTAGTTAGTTAGTTAGTTAGTTAGTAGTTAGTTAGTTAGTTAGTTAGTTAGTTAGTTAGTTAGTTAGTTAGTTAGTTAGTTAGTTAGTTAGTTAGTAGTAGTTAGTTAGACCCGGCTTTCGTACGGATAGTCCACAACATCACCTGCTAACATACGGAGGCTTTACACTAATATTTATCCAAGTTGGTCGTCAGGACAGACCGCCAATTCCTAGAGATAAAAAGAAACAGATCGTTTAAAAGTTTTCTGTAGAATCGTTGAATATTTTTCTATGGAAAACAGATCGTTAAGGAGCTTTCTATAGAATGTTATTATAGAAAATATTACTGTAAAAATTTTTCGTTGATCATTATCATTGCGTGATTCATGTGATTTCTAGCCAAATATTTACACCGCATTATCTTAAAGACCATTTTGATCACGGATAATTTGATCATAAGAAAAATATTTATTTTAAGATTCAATGTAACAAGTTCCACACTTTGGCCTTTTTAAGGCCTTTCTTCTGGTCCTTCTATTCAGCAACTTTTTTTACCTATACTTATAAACAAGCGTTTTTTCTTCACCCAAACTACATTGACAACACTTGTGCAACAGTTCATGTGTATCATACAAATTTAGTTGCATGGATTTATTCTTCAAAATACCCGTTGATTGAAATTAATTTCGTATTTCAATAAAACATATTTATAAACAGGAAAAAAGCAAAATACACATAATCAAAAAAAAGTAACGCCAAAATATAAAGTTTGGATGAGTAAGAAAGCTTTCTAAGAATTAAATGTCTCCCAACAACATTATTCACTAAGTTTATAATAAATATCTTTATTTATAGGCACACTTCCCGTGTAGATTATAATAAAAAATCATATAAATGTAAAAGTTGTAATCGAAAGCGAAGAACAAAATTCATGAAAATACTTGTAAAAAAAATCAAAATTGTAAAAATCTATGTAAATATGAATAAAAATTTAAAAATAGTAACAAGTGAAAAATAAACAATATAAAATTGTTTTTATAAACATTTAACTCTTGCAGTTTATAGTTACTTTAAAATTGTTTTTTTTTAGTTTTTTATTTGTTTTGTTATTTTCAAACTGATAAGATAATAATATTAATAATCAAAACCCTTCTTTATCTTAGTAATGAACCCTAAATGAATGTGCAAAAAAAAAAATATTGCTTAAAGTAAAGAAATTTGTTTTCTAAATGTGTGTGCTAAGAGCTATAAAAGTTGGTAAAGAATTTGTGCTGAATTTTTAATTGTTTTCTTTTTTTTTTTGTACAAGTATTTTTTTCGGTATCTTATCTTGACAACAAACAACATAAATGTTCAAAACCCAACAATGATAAATTCTACAACGATCATTTTCCTTTTGCGCCTTTTATAGTTATTGTTGGTTGTTTTGCTCTCTATGTTGATCATAGTGGTTTGCGACTGCAATTTTTTACAATCTTTTCATTGTAATTGATCTTTAGGGAGGACTAAATTTATTTGCAAAACTATGAGATGAAAAGTTTTCTAGTGGAATATTTTTGGAAAGAGAACAGATCAATGAGAGGATTTTTAAAGGAACTGATCTATGAAATGTTGTCTAAAGAACACTGATCAAGGAAATATAGAAAACTGATCGATGAAAAGGTTTCTATTGAAAACTGATCTATGAAATGATTTCTATAGAAAACTGATCAATAAAAGGTTTTCTATGGAAAACTGAACGATAAAAGTTTTATATAGAAAACTGAACGATAAAAGATTTTCTATAGAAAACTGATCGTTGAAAAGTTTTCTATATAAAACTGAACGTTGAAAAGTTTTCTATAGAGAAGTGATCGATGAAAAGTTGAAAAGCTTTCTATAGAGATCAGATCGTTGAAAACTTTTCTGTACAAAACTGATCGTTAAAAAGTTTCTGTAGAAACTGATCGTTAAAAAGTTTTCTATGGAAAATTGAACGTTAAAAAGTTTCATATACAAAACTGATCGTTGAAAAGTTTTCTATAGAAAACTGATCGTTGAAAAGTTTTCTATAGAAAACTGATAATTGAAAAGTTTTCTATAGAGAACAGATCGTTAAAAACTTTTCTATACAAAACAGATCGTTAAAAAGTTTTCTGTAGAAAAGTGATCGTTAAAAAGTTTTCTATACAAAACTGATCGTTAAAAAGTTTTCTATACAAAACTGATCGTTAAAAAGTTTTCTATAGAAAACTGATCATTGAAAAGTTTTCTATAGAAAACTGATCGTTGAAAAGTTTTCTATAGAAAACTGATCGTTGAAAAGTTTTCTATAGAAAACTGATCGTTGAAAAGTTTTCTATAGAAAACTGATCTTTGAAAAGTTTTCTATAGAAAACTGATCTTTGAAAAGTGTTCTGTAGAAAACTGATCGTTAAAGAGTTTTCTATAGAAAACAGATCGTTTAAAAGTTTTCTATAGAAAACTGATCGTTAAAAAGTTGTCTATACAAAACTGATCATTAAAAAGTTTACTATAGAAAACTGATCGTTAAAAAGTTTTCTATAGAAAACTGACCGTTAAAAAGTTTACTACATTCGTTGAAAAGTTTTCTATAGAAAACAAAATCGTTAAAAAGTTGTCTCTAGAAATCTGATCGTTGAAAAGTTTTATATAGAAAACTGATAGTTGAAAAGTTTTCTATAGAGAACATATCGTTGAAAACTTTTCTATACAAAACTGATCAATAAAAAGTTTTCTATAGAAAATTGATCGTTAAAATGTTTTCTATAGAAAACTGGTCGCTTCCTACACAAAACTGATCGTTGAAAAGTTTTCTATAGAAAACTGATCGTTAATAAGTTTCATAAAGAAAACTGATCGTTAAAAAGTTTTCTATAGAAAACTAATCGTTAAAAAGTTTTCTATAGAAAACTGATCATTAAAAGTTTTCTATAGAAAATTGATCGTTAAAAAGTTTTCTATAGAAAACAGATCCTTGAGAAGTTTTTCTATATAAAAGATATATTTGAACAGTTTTTTGTGACCATCTAAACCACTGTTAGTCTGAAATTACGGCAAAAATATGTTTTTACTACCAACAGCTGAAATAATGGTCGATGACTCGTAAACCAGCCCAGATTTTCCATTAACGTTATAGAACTAAACTGCGTGCTTTTGAGCTTTTTTGTTTTTTTTCACAACTGAGTTTAAATTCCTACAATAATAAATACAACGATGATGGTCGATGACTTGTTGAGATACTCTTGATACTTGAGCAAGTATTTAAAAAAATGCAAAAAAATTGTATTATTTTATAATGAAGGGCATATAGCGGGAATATATAACTTTAATAAAATGTGTTGTATATAAACTGCTGATTTATCTAGTTTTAATATTAAACGTTTTCTTTATATAATTTTTTTTCTTTATAATATATTTGCAGTGCAAAAAAAGCAGAAGAGTTTCACATTAATAAAGATCAGTCATGAAAAGAGACATACATATATACATGCATAAATGCTTAATAAAGAAAATTTAATTTAAATAACAACATTAATCTTATGCTAAATTAACTTTTTTTATAAAATGAAAACTAAATAAAAGAAAAGTTTAGAAAAAAAGCCAAGAAAAGAAACGGGGTCTAAACAAATGATTAAGTATTGTTTGTATTGAAAGTGTATTAAACAAATAAATAAATTAATGAATAAATAATGACACCCTATTTGTCATACTAATATTAATAGTGCATTATAATAAATAACAACAAAGAATATATATACTATATGGATATATAACTTATATATTAATATAATAATAACAACAAAAACAAATTATTACAAAGAAATAGAAAGGCAAGTGAGAGGGCGATATTAAATAATAAAACCTACAATAAATAATACTATTGTAAATAAAACAATATACAACTTTATCTGTGAATAACCGTAGTTATTAAAATAGATATACAATGGATATAGAATCGGATGATTCGGAGCGTTGGGAAGACTTTTTTGGTGAGTAACTGTTTAATGTTTTAATTATTATTTGTTTTAAATAGGTTTTCGTTAATGAAAATTGAGATTTTATAATTAAAAAGCTTTCAGCTTTGTGATCTTAACTTATAGTTTAGAGCTTAAAAAAATTATATAAGATCATGTTATTCCATTGTCTTATTGTGTCCAAGTTATTGAAAAAAGATTTTTCCATAAGAAACTAATAGTGTGTTATTAATTTTTTTTATAGAATACTGATCGTGTTGAAAAATGTTCTATATAATGCTGATCGTTGAATGTTTTCTAATGGGAAGTAATCCTTCAAAAGTTTTCTGTAGAATTAAAAAGCTATTGACGACAATATTTCATAAACAGCTGATCAACGAAATGTTTTCCATGGAAAGTTGATCGTTGAAAAGTTATTTATAGAAAAGTGATCTTTGAAAATGTTTCTGTAGGATAATCTTTCAAAAAATAGCTGATCAACGAATTGTTTCATAAAGTTATTGTCCTTAGAAAGCTGATCTTGTGTGATAATTTTCAATCGAATATTGATTATAGAAGAAAAGTTCTTTAGAAAGTTGATCGTTGAAAAGTTATCCATAGAAAAGTGATCCGTGAAAATTTTTCTTTAGAACATCCGTTTCTAAAGATAACTGATCGATTAAACTTTTCTGAAGAAAACTAAAAAGAACTTAACCACAAGCTCTTTCTAAAGCTGATCAAAGAAATGTTTCCTTAAAGTTGTTGTCCCTAGGAAGCTGATCTTGTGTGGTCGTTTTCTGTAGAATATTGATCATTTCAACATTTTCCATAGAAAGATGATCGTTGAAATGTTTTCTATAGAAAAGTGATCTTTGATAAATTTTCTGTAAAACATCAAGATAACTGATCGATGAATATTTTCTGAAGAAAACTAAAAGGCGATTAACGATAATCTTAAAAATTCGATCAACGAAATGTTTTCTTAAAGTTGTTGTCCCTAGAAAGCTGATCTTGTCTGATCGTTTTATTTAGAATATTGATCATTTCAATATTTTCCATAAAAAGATCATCGTTGAAATGTTTTCTATAGAAAAGTGATCTTTTATAAGTTTTCTGTAGAACATCAAGATAACTGATCGATGAATATTTTCTAAAGAAAACTAAAAGGCGATTAACGACAATCTTAAAAATTCGATCAACGAAATGTTTTCTTAAAGTTGTTGTCCCTAGAAAGCTGATCTTGTCTGATCGTTTTATTTAGAATATTGATCATTGGAAAAAGTTCTATAAAAAGTTGATCGTGGAAAAGTTATCTATATAAAAGTGATCCGTGAACATTTTTCTTTAGAACATCCGTTTCTAAAGATAACTGATCGACCAAAATTTCCCAAAGAAAGCTAAAAAGAGCTTAACGATAATATTGCTAAAGCTGATCAACGAAATGTTTTCTTAAAGTAGCTGGCTCTAGGAAGCTGATCTTGTGTTATAGTTTTCTTTAGAATATTGATCATTGAAAAATGTTCTATAGAAAAATTATCGTTGAAAAGTTATCTATAGAAAAGTGATCCGTGAATAAGATAACTGATCGATTAAAATTTTCGGAAGAAATCTAAAAAGAGCTTAAAGAATCCTTTCTTCTGATCAACGAAATATTTTCTTAAAGCTGTTGTCCCTAGGAAGCTAATCTTGTGTGATCGTTTTCTTTAGAATATTGATCATTGAAAAATGATCTATAGAAAAATGATCCTTTAAAAGTTTCCCATAAAAAATTACATTTGAAAAGTTTTCTGTAGAAAACTAAAGAGTGTTTGATGATAATTTTTGATAAGAAAACTGATCATAGAATACTAATCGTAATCGTTTTCTGTCGAATACTTATTGTTAAAAAATGTTCTATAAAAAGTTTATCATTGAAATGTTGTCAATAGAAAAGCGATCTTAGCAAAGCTCTTCATAGAAAAATTAATGTTTCTGAAGAAAACAATATAACGATCGACGATCTTTAAGATAGCTGCACCAAAGAAATGTTTTCTTAAAGTTATTGAAATCTTATTTAGCCATAGGGAACTGATCTTGTGTGATGATTTTCTAAGGAATATTGATCACTAACGATTGTTCCTTTCTATAGAATACTTATCATAGAATAGTGTTCTATAAGAGATTTATCATTGAAAAGTGATTCTTGAAATCATTTAAGAAAAACGTCTTAAGATAATGAATCAAAAATCATATCTAAGCGATTTTTGATTGTGATCGGTGTGTTTCGAACTGTGAAAACTGGCTTCGAAAACTTGACTCCTTTTAGAAAAAAGGTCAAAAACAAAGTACATCGTTTTCCAAAGATCCATTTTTTATGGATCTACGACTAACATTTCGTAGAATGAAACTGATTTCTTCGGTCTTGTATGATACAAATTTAAAAATGTTAACAAATACTTAACGCCTTATTAACCTTTCACTCTTTAGAAGTCATTAACAAGTTTTTGATCATTAACATTTGACAGAATTATTCATTACCTATTCTGTACAATTAATCAAATTAGTCATTCCTTCAAAGTGAGTCACTTGAAATTCCTAAAGGTATTCTTTAAAAAAATTCCAAAAATGTTTGAATTTGACCTTAAGCATCTTTACTTAAAAAAGCATTTAAAAATAACAATAATTTTCTAAAATATTTTAAGTAAAAAATATTTAAAAAGTCATATTGTCATCATTTAAATTTAAGCACCTTTTTATAAGCCATGTGTGTTATTTTCTTTGCGTGTGAAAATTATCTTTAGCAAACGTTTTAAAATTGCATAAAATTTCACCTTCGCTGTGCTGGCAGCCGGCTATTCAGTTAACAGTATTTTCTTCATTTTTTTGCCTTATTTTGATTTATTGTTCAATTAATGTTCGATGATGGTTTAGTCATAGAATTAATAACCACCACCCATTCGCAATTGCGTTAACCCCAATACATTTTTAATGGCTTTAAGAAGCTTAAACCTGAAAAAAAAAAACGTTTAAAATTGAACAAAAAACCAATATCTTCCAATATGAAATAATAATGTATTTTTAGCAACACGCTTGTTTTGGAAGTATTTAGTAGCAGCATGACGATTTTTTTTTCAACAACAACCCCATCTTGTACCCCATCATCATGGAGGATTGCCTTAAAGTTCGTTGTCGACATAAACCAGTTTGACTTCATACTAGATTTAAGTTGGTCTCTCTACTTGAGTGAGACAAGAGTGATTATTACACAATAACCTGTTAGACACTAAACACAGCAGCCAGCCAGCCAAACAGCAGCAAAAACTACAACAACAACAATCAATATCACAGGCATCCTATGGCATGCCATTCCGTCCCGTCTTAAGATACAAAAAATCTTCGAAGTCAAACTGGCAGTCAGACAGACAAGAAATTCATACTCATACCACTGGCAACTAATACAAGCAATCATAATTTAACAATACCTTTGGCAATTCAATATCATTAATTTTTATTTAGTATTGGCCATAACTAATCGATATAACTAAATTTTCATAAAACATCATCTATTTTGTTCGTATTTCTTTACTGTTCCATCTATAACAAAAAAACAAAACAAAATCAACAACAACTTCGTACGGTTAGAAATTTAGATCATTGACATTCTATACATAATTGAGGCTGGTCTCTGGTGTATTGGAGGTTATACCAAAAGGGTGAAGAGTGTTCAAATTTTAACTGTGTGGTAAATTTATTATATAAAAAATATGAATTTTAATATTTTTTACCGCAAACGATGTGGACAATTAAGCGGTTTTGCTAAAAAGCAAATATTCATTAAAATAACCAATACGCCATACTAAGGGTAATTGCTAAAAACGTAAATAGACTAGACTATAGACTAGACTATAGACCAGACTATAGACTAGACTATAGACTATACTATAGACTAGACTATAGACCAGACTATAGACTAGACTATAGACCAGACTATAGACTAGACTATAGACTAGACTATAGACTAGACTATAGACTAGACTATAGACTAGACTATAGACTAGACTATAGACTAGACTATAGACTAGACTATAGACTAGACTATAGATTAGACTATAGACTAGACTATAGACTAGACTATAGACTAGATAGACTAGACTATAGACTAGACTATAGACTAGACTATAGACTAGACTATAGACTAGACTATAGACTAGACTATAGACTAGACTATAGACTAGACTATAGACTAGACTATAGACTAGACTATAGACTAGACTATAGACTAGACTATAGACTAGACTATAGACTAGACTATAGACTAGACTATAGACTAGACTATAGACTAGACTATAGACTAGACTATAGACTAGACTATAGACTAGACTATAGACTAGACTATAGACTAGACTATAGACTAGACTATAGACTAGACTATAGACTAGACTATAGACTAGACTATAGACTAGACTATAGACTAGACTATAGACTAGACTATAGACTAGACTATAGACTAGACTATAGACTAGACTATAGACTAGACTATAGACTAGACTATAGACTAGACTATAGACTAGACTATAGACTAGACTATAGACTAGACTATAGACTAGACTATAGACTAGACTATTATAGACTATAGACTAGACTATATACTAGACTATAGACTAGACTATAGACTAGACTATAGACTAGACTATATACTAGACTATAGACTAGACTATAGACTAGACTATAGACTAGACTATAGACTAGACTAGATAGACTAGAGACTATAGACTAGACTATAGACTAGACTATAGACTAGACTATAGACTAGACTATAGACTAGACTATAGACTAGACTATAGACTAGACTATAGACTAGACTATAGACTAGACTATAGACTAGACTATAGACTAGACTATAGACTAGACTATAGACTAGACTATAGACTAGACTATAGACTAGACTATAGACTAGACTATAGACTAGACTATAGACTAGACTATAGACTAGACTATAGACTAGACTATAGACTAGA